GGGGGGGGGCGCTGCCTGAGGAAGGTAGGATTAGATCATTAGCTCAGTGACCTCCTAGGGTTTCGATGTGCTGTGTTCTCATCCTACAGCTGGTTCGGTAATGATCTGCAAGTCCCGGAGAGCAACAGCACCGCTCTGCCTGGCGCCCTCATTAAAATCCATGCAGCCAAGCTCTGCGCTTTGTAGCAGCCGGCCTTGCGAAGCCGAGGAGAAGGCTCCTCGGCTCGGGGGGGGGGGGGGGGGGGGGTGGGGACCCAGTCAGCCCAGAGGCCCTCTGGGCTCTATTTATGTGTATGCGCACCAAAAACAAAAACAAAACCCACATAAAACAACAACAACAAAAACCCCACTTCTTTAAACCCAGAGCCCTTTAAGATGATAAAGGACCCTTTGCAGGTAATTGTGTGTCTTTGGAATCCTGTAATTGTAGAATGCAAAGTTTAGTGATTTAAACTGGGCCGAGGTTGATGAGAGTGTGGGACAGTGGCTCATAAGGACTCTTAAGCGCTGAAGCCAAGGAGCCACCTCCCTTCCCTAGTCTGCCCAGCCCAGGGGACCTGCCCCCATTCCTGTGGCCCAGGGACCCAGCTTCCAGTCGGCATGTCAGAAGTGACTTGCGGCTTCACCCTGCTTGTGAGGACTACATTCCAAAGGAGCGGCCGCAGGGGGGGCGCAGGCTCTGCCATCCCTTGGAGGTCAGAGCAGCTGGCCCAAGCTCCAGCTCGCCTCCAGCGGAAGCTCAAGCGCCCTCAGAAACGACCCTGGCCAATGTCACCGCAGAGCCGAGGCGGTGTTGTCAGGGCTAATGTGAAATCTCTTCCCGTGGCGCCGGTCCTCCGGCTCTGCAGCGCCAGCTTGGACAGATTGAGGTCTCTGTGGCTTTGGTGACCCTGCTTAAGCATTCCCACCGTGTCCCAGCTTTGCTCTCGCCTGCCTCCCTCCGCAGCCCCCCTCACCTGACTTCGGGGCCTGGGGAGGGAGCCAGCGCCCCAGGGCGAGGGGCTTTTGCTCAGGAGAGATGTCAGGCCTCCTGGGGGCATCAGGCTTTGAGCTCTGCTGGGGTCCAGCAGACCTGGGACCAGGTGTCACTAGGAGATATGCCTCATTCTGTGCCTCAGTGAGGGCTAGGGAACAATTCTGTTATTGTATTAACTTGACTCAGTTAAGTCACTTGAGAAACTAACCAATTTTTACTTTCTGTCTAGAATGATGTACATGTAGGAGAGTCAGCTGTAATGCTCCCAAAGTGCCTTGTTTTCTCTGATATAAATATATTTATAAGGACCTATTCCAGTGGATTCTTGGGTGTGTTTGCCACATCGATTTTAGGGAGTGGGCATCTATGTAGTAGGGATACAGTCTGGAAGTGGGTCCTTCTCCCCTGAGGGTGGGAAAGGAGATTCCGTTAGAGATCTGGGAGGGTGGGGTTAAACCAAACCCCTGAGGTGACCCCTTCCTCTTCGCCCTGCTCCTCTTAGGCCCTTAGGAGGACGTCCAGTTTTTTAAAGCCCTGTGGCTCCAAGCCTGGTCTCCTTTGTTTCCCTGCCAGGCTCATGTGTGGACCACGTCAGCACCCCATGACCTGAGGATTCCATGTAACGATTTTATGTAATACATGCAAATATGTAAATGCCAACATTTTAAGTAATTTGATAAATCTTTGTAGCTACTCAGCCACCTCTGGGGTGTGTGTGTGTGTGTGCGCGCGCGCGCGCGCACGCACGCAACAAAGTGGAAGGGGACAACATCAATAGCCGCAGGTGGCGGCCTGAGCTCTGGAGGGAGGGCTTGTGTGGGCGGGCTCGAGGAGCAGGAGGCCTCGGGGTCTGGATGGTGCATCCTGCGTGGGAGGTGGAGGTGAAGGCTGGAAACCATTTGGGTTTAGGAGGAGACCCAAGTTGGGGGACTCAGAAGCCCAAGTCCCCAGGCCCTCCTCAGCTGGCGAAGGGTGTATGTGGGGACCAGGGGAGACACGCTGGTGGCCCCTCCGTCAGGCGGAAGAGCAGCACTGGCAGAATGCTGATGTTGCCTCCCAACATCTGGCTGGCATCTTGTCTGCCTCTCAGACCCAAGCAACTTACCTTAAATAGAATGATTTTCAGTGGAATCCGATAAAAAGTTCAGGCTGCTGTACACCCCCTCTCCTGCCTGGGAAGGCGAAGGGGCTGGGTTTCAATTCTGACCCAAAAAAATGACCTACCCAGGAAGCAACGGTTGTTCCGAGCACAGCTGCTGCGGGTGACTGTCCCTGGGGGTAATTTATGGGCAGACACCCAGTTCCAGTTCCGGGCCCAGCGGACGCAGTGGGGTGGCCCCGGGAGAGGGGCGGGGAGCAAGGTTGGTGACTCCGCTGGTCACGCCTGCTGTTCGGGGAGAGAGAGGCACCCACTGGCGTCCCAGGAGAGGGGGCAGAAGTTTTGAATTGTCAGCAACTGCTGCGCCAGGCGCGCTGAGCTCATCGCTGGAGGTGGGGGTGCAGGGGAGGGGGCGCGGGAGCCGGCTCGCCCCGCCGGAGCCCCTCGCTCCACCCTCCGGCTCAGGCCTCTGTTTAGTCAGCACTTGGCTTCCCGAGGCCGGTGACTGACAGGCAGCCAGACGCCCGCCCTGGGAGAAGACAAAATGGTGGTGTCGGGAGCCGCCCTTGCTGGGGAAGTGGAGGGGAGGAATGTGGTTCTGGGAAGCAGGCGGCCGCAGCTTAAATTCCGGCTCCTCCGCTTGGGAGCTGTGACCCCGCGCTTCACCTCTCAGGGCTAATCCTGAGAAGAATGAGCATGTGCTGAGTGCCTACTACCTGCCCAGGACTGCACGCGCTCCATTTCGGCCCTAGGAGGGAAGGGTCTCATTGTGCACGTGAGAAAAACAAGTTCGGAGGTCGAGTCGCCGCAGACCGTGCAGCTGGCCGGGAGCGGAGCCACACCTCAAAGCCCGGTCTCTCTCAAGCCTGACATCGTGCTCTGTCCGCCATGCAGCCTCAACGGCTTTCGGGTTCTCTCCCGTCCGGAACCACGGGGTTCGGTGTCCGAGGGGGCGTGTTACGCTTTCCCGTCCTGCTCTACCCCACCCTCTGGCGCCCACTTTTACGGGGCACCGTTATTTGTGCTCCCGCTTTGAAATCAAGTGGGCCGGCCTGAGGGCCCGACTGTCCTGGACCCTGAAGTTGGAAGGACCTCGCACCCTGAGCTGCCTGGGAACAAAGTGGGTTTCCCACGTGCGGGCTGGGGCTTCCCACAGACACACGGTGCTCAGGGCACGGGGCGCACATTCAGCCACAAAGACCCGGAGACACACACAAGGCGACACCTAACACGTGAGCGGGCACACACGGGATCCCGGGCCCAGGGACACGTGCACACTCCGTACACGGAGCCCTGCCCTTGTGCAAACAAGGACACAGACCGGCACACAGTTACAGGAACACATCATCGCAGGCGAGCCTCACTCGGTCCTCGCCGGCCCCCCGCCTTCGCGCTGCCGCCGCCAGCTCCTCACTGCCCCCTCCTGGCCGCCCAGGGACCAGGGCAACCTGGCACCATTTCCTGCGAGTTCGCCTCTGGGGTGGTTGTCCGCTAGCTCCCTTCGTAACGAGGCTGGGAGCAGTTTCAGGTGCTCCTCATAGTCCCTCCGCCCCAGGAGATGAGGGTGTCTAGAGGGAGGTCTGAAGCTGGAGGACAAAAAAAAAAAAAAAAGAAAAAGAAAAAAGGCTCTCACACCCAAAGGAATCTCTGGCGGTAGAATCCTCAGTACAGTGGTGGCGGGAGTCCTGCATAGCCCCGCTCCCCCTTCAGCAGGCAGCCCCCCGCCCTTACCTCGGGAACTGTGCACGCACCTGCTCCCACTGTATACATATTTAAAGAGAAGCAGACTTCCTGGCCAAGAGGTCAGAGGTCAGGTCTTCCAGCTCGCAGGTTGCTGCTCCCTCTCTGGGCTTCAGCTGCCTCACCTATTCAATGAAGAGTTAAGTTGACCATGATGTACGTGACCCCTCCACCCTGGAGTCGCACCGTCTTGGGAAATAACACCTCTCCCAAAAGTAATGTGCCTGAGTAAAGCACATCCATAAACACGACCCCATGCATGCTTCAGGCCAGTCCTGGGAGGATTACCAACCAAAGCTTTTTAGTGCTATTTTACAGCTGAGGAAATGAGGCACAGAGAGGCACAGCAACTTACCCAAGGTCACACAGCAAGTTGGCAGCAGGCATGGACTTAGAAATCCTCTTCTTGTGGGCCCCAAGCTGCCTACAAGAGAGTAGAACTCTCCCTGTGGGCTCAGGCCCAGAGCCAAGGAGACAGGAACAACAGAGACTAAAGCCAGAAGCTCCGCCCCTCCTTTTTTTTTTTTAAAGGTTTTTGTTTTGTTCTGTTTTGTTTAGTAATCTCTATACCCAACATGGGGCTTGAACTCACAACCCCGAGATCAAGAGTCTCATGCTCCACTGACTGAGCCAGCCAGACGCCCCAGAAGCTCTGCCCCTCTGCTTGGAGCCCTGAAGGCTGAGGGGAACCCAGCGGAGGTCCCAGGAGGCTGGGAAACGGCCACTTGCACCCTGGTGGGTTCCACCACTCCCCACCCTGACCAGCAGCCTGCGCACACCTTGCGCTTCCTCTGCAGAACCGGAGGCGGGCTAAGGAGGGTTCTCCCTGCTCGGTGGCCACCGGTAGCTTGTTCATCAAGTTACCACACACGTGAGTGGCGTGTGCATGCATGCCTGGACTCCACGGGTGCGCACTCACATGTAGATGCATGTTCATATATGCCTACAAGTACACTGAGGCACATATTCAGAGGTCTGGGTAACACGTAAGTGTGCGTGCTTGCAAGCCTGTATGCCTATGACTGCATTCGTGTGTTCAGACGAGGTGTGTTTGGATGTACGCGTATAAGTGGTTCCTG